GTTCATTTCTATTTAACTTAAGGAAATACTAAAGAGTTTTCTCTAACAAAGGGGGAAGCATGACCTGAGTTTCCACCTGCTTTGGAAAAGATGCCTGCTTTGGATAGGAAATGAGTTTGTATCTAAAAATCCTGCAACTGGTTTGCAGCATTGTAAAGGTCATGGCAACAAATACCAGAGAATGGGTTTAATGAACAGTGATAGTATTCTACATGCATTTGAAGAATTAATTTTTACTCCATTATTTTGACTAGTTTGCAATAGAGTAGGTTAAGAATTGTACCATCTATTCATGTTAAAATCACATGAGTACAAGTCAGTGCCTTACAATGGTCTAATGCTTGCTCACTAACCAATGGAAATAAACTGTTGGTTCCACAAAATTGTTTTACAGATTCTAAAAGCTATTTCTTTGGGACACTGGATTGTGTGCCCTTTAAGATAAATTCTACAATCAAGGGCCTAGCCCTGAAGAGATTAGAGCCCAAAGATCACTCTGAGGAGAACAAATCCATATATTGTAAAATGCACACATCTTAAGTGTTCAGTTTGATGTTTTGACAATTGTATACACATGTGTGATAACATCCAAAAGAAGATATAGAACATTACCTTTAACCCAGAAAGTTCTCTTGTGCATCTTTCAAATCATCTCTGCTCCCCCTCCCTACTCCATTGATCATTTGCTGATTTTTATCACTAAAGATTTATTTTGCCTGCTTTTGGACTTTATATAAATGGAATCATATAATATGTACTCATATCTGGTGTCTTATAATGCTTTAAAGACTCATCCATATTGTTGTATGCATCGGTAAATTATTCTTTATTGCTGAGTAGTATTTCATTCTATAAGTATACCCAATTTGTTTATCCAATCTCCTATTGATGGACTTTTAGGTTGTTTCCAGTTTGGGACAATTATGAATAAGGCTGCTGTGTATATTTGTACACAAGATTTTTTTTGTTTATTTTGTGGATATACATGTTTTTGTTTCTCTTGGATAAATGCTTAAGAGTAGAAAATTGCTGAGTCACCTGGTAAGGTATGTTTAACTTTTTAAGAAACTGTCTTCCTGTTCTCCAAAGTGGCTTACCATTTTGTACTACCATCAATGATGTATGAGAGTTCCAGTTGCTCCATATCTTTGTCAACATTTATTGTTTTAGCCATTTTAGCAGGTATGAAATAATGCTGTGATTTTAATTTACATTGCATTCTCCTGATAATAATGTTGAGCACTTTTCATATGCTTATCTCACATTTGTATATCTTTCATGAAGTGTCTTTCATGTCTTTTCCCATTTTAAAATTGGATTGTCTTTTTATTGTGGGTTATTCTGTGAAATCTGGATACAAGTCCTTTGACAGATATATGTGCTATGATTTTTTTTTTTTTTTTTTTTTTTGGGTAGACTATGGCTTATTCACTTTCTTATTGGGAGTTTTTGATGAGCACAAATTTTTATTTTGATAAAGTTCACTTTATCAATTTTTTTCTTTTATGGTTTTGTGACCTCAAGGTCACAAAGGACATATTCTCTTCTAGAAGTTTTATGGTTTGGGGTTTTATGTCTGTGGTGGATCATAGATGGTCTATGAGCCATTTCAATGGTTTTAGGCTTTACAGCTATAGTTTGGAGTTTTACATTTAGGTATATGATCCATCGCAAAGTAATTTTTGTGTACAGAATGAGGTTTATTTCAACATGGATATCCAGTTGTCCCAGCAACATTTGTTTAAAAAGATTTTTCTTCACACATTAGGTTGATTTAGCATCTCGGTTGAAAATCAACTGACCATATGTGTGTGTAGTTATTTCTAGACTCTCTATTCTCTTCCCCACAATATTTAATCATTATTGCTCTTCATATTTTCCAGAAAATCTGGGCTTCTGTCTGATATAAACTCTCTTTTATCTGAAGGAGTTCTTTTAGCATTTCTTCTATCACGGTTTTTCTAGAGATGAATTCTCTCAGCTTTTGTCTATCAGAGAATATCTTTATTTTACTTTTATTTTTGAGGGGTATTTTAGTTAGATATAGAATTCTGTGTTGACCTGTTATTTCTTCTTTCAGTATTTTGAAGAAGTTGTTTACTTGTCTTCAGGTCTCATTTGTTTCTGGTGAGAAGTCATCCAATATTTTTATTGGTTTACCTGTCCATAATGTGGGTTTTTTCACCTCCAATGGTTACATCTACTCTTTATCTTTGGTTTTCAGCAGATTACTATGATATATCTAGGTATATTATTCCTTGTATGGAGTTTACTGAACCTCTTGATCTTTGTTGATGTCTTTCATTAATATTAGATATTTCTTGGCCATTATCTCTTCATTTATTTCTTCATACTCTCTCATCTCTCCTCCTGGGACTCCGATTACACATATATTAGATGATTTGATATTAACCTACAAATCTCAGATGATTTTCCCTCCATCTTTTCTCTTTTTGTTTTCAGTTTGGATACCTTCCATTTAGCTGTCTTCAAGTTCTCTGATGCTTTCCTGTTAAACCCATCTAATGAATTCTGTATTTCTGATATAGTATTTTTATTTCTAGGATTTAATTATGTTTGTATGGTTACCATGTTTCTGCTGAAATTTCCCATTTCTTCACACATGTCATCCATATTTTCCATTAGATGTTTTAACATTTTAATAAGAGTTAAAGATCCCAACTGATAATTCAATATCTGGGTCATCTCTCATTTTGCTTCTATTGAACCCTTCCTCTGTTACTGTGGATCTTATTTTCTTGCTTTTGCACATGTCTTGTGTATGTGGTTGTATGCAGGACGTTTTTGTATGAAAAACAGGAGAAACTGAAGTAAATATTACTTACCTTCAAAATGGGGCATGCCATTTTTCTTTCAGCCACTTGAGTAGTGGCTCAGTCAATCTGATGTGTATTTGACCTAAAGCTTTATTGAAACTTTAGTTTGATTCAGTTCACCACTAGCTTCAGATATTTTGAAGGCAGAATCAGAACTTTTCTTTCAGTAGGGCCTAGGTTTTGGGCATTGGCAAGATTCCAGAGATCTGACTTTACTTTGTAGCCAAGGTATCAGCTTTTGGAAATGTGTGAGATCTCTCCTTTCTAGTGAAAAATGTGGACAAACCAGCCTAACTGCCAGGTTTTTTTGGATAGGGGGATGGGAGATATTCCTCTCAGCTCTTCTGTATGCCCTACCCTTAGTCTTTTAAGGAGGAATGCCCACAGTGCTGGGAGATGGTCTCTCAGCTCTCCTGCTCCACGCTTAGCCTTCAAGACTGTTTCTGATGAATTTCACAGCATTCCTGCCTTGCCCCCTCATTTAGAAAGGGTATCTTGCACTTGGGAGAGGCTCCACTTGCCTCAACGGCAAGGGTGATCTGTCTCAGCTCTTTTAGTATCCATCTGCCTCCCACTTTTAGTCTACTACTTCCCTGTACTTGGTTAAGATCCAAGAAGTAAGATTGGTAGGTGGACGCAGGCTTTCTCTATGGATTTGAGTCCTAGATTCTAATGTCATGCCAGCCTCCATGGGCTATTAAAATTTTGTTAAATTTCAACTGGTTTCTCTTCACTCCCCTGTGGTGGATTCCTCTGCCTGCCATATAGTTCAGCATGGAATATAAGCAGCCATGGGTCTCTTCTGTCCTATAAATGACTTAGCTCTTTCAGGAGGTTGGTTCATTTAGGTTTCTTTTTGTCCTCAGCTTTCTGAGGTGTTTAAAATATTTTAGATTTTCTAGCTAAATCTGGCCTTTTCTTTGTTTTCTAGAGTGGGAGCTATGTTCTCTTGTGATTTTCTACATCCAAATCAGAAGTGAATTCCAGGAATGGGAGTTTAAAAAATGGTTTCATTTTCATATTTTATTAACTAGTTTTTAAAATTAAAAATACATGGGTAATAAAAAGTTAAATTTTATAGAATGGTAAACAATGAAAAGTAAGTCACCTTCCTATTCTGGTTCCCCTAATCCTCTTATTCCCTCTACAGACAAATAGCATTACCAGTTTCTTGTGATTTCCTCCCAAAATTGTAATTACAAAACATGTGAATATTTGCCCCCTTATTTTTTTTAACACAAATAGAAGCATACTATATTTTATACACTTTGTTTTTTCATGTAATTCTTTCACCACCTTGACATCTTTTACAGGCTGTATAATATGTCTTAATATGGATGCACTTTGGTTTATTTAAATAATCCCTAATGATGGACATTTGGGGTGTTTCCAGTATTTTTTCTCACAAACAATGCAGTATGTATGCCTTTGCCCACATTCGCTGTTGAGTATATTTGTAGTATCAGGAATGGGCATGTTTAAAATGCTTCATGAAGCTCCATGGAGCTTCATATTATTTTAAAGTGTTGGCTGGACTCTCAGGAGTTGGTGATATGGGTTTTGGGAGGACTGGTTATCATAGAAGAGGCATGAGGTGCTAGAGTTGCTTGGGGAACAGATGTCAGAACAAAGCACACTGTAGACCCTATGAGAGTAGGAATGACATATTAAAATCTTTAAAATGTAGACATTCAACTGTAACTCCTTCTTTATACATATATTGCGGATGTTAAAAAGTTACTGATGTCTGATTCCTCTCCTGCCTCCTTATCTCCTACCATGGGGGAAAAAGGATAAATGATACTTTGTTTGGAATGCCTTACCCAGCTATATGACTCGAATGATCCTGATAAGCAAGGTTACATCCCAGGAGGTTTTCTAAGGGAATGAAGAGTCATGTGTTACACAAGAAATACTGTCTATGTGATTCTGAGATCTTCCCGTGAAGATGTTATGTTTTTTGAAGTTTTTTTTGTGTGTGTGTGTGTGTGTGAGGAAGATTGGCCCTGAGCTTACATTTGTTGCCAGTCTTCCTCTTTTTGCTTGAGGAAGATTGTCTCTGAGCTAACATCCATGCCAATCTTCCTCTACTTTGTATATGGGATGCTGCCACAGCATGGCATGATGAGCAGTGGGTAGGTCCACACCCAGGATCCAAACACATGAACCCCAGACCACTGAAGCAGAGCGCGTGAACTTAACCACTACGCCACTGGGCTGGCCCCTGAGGAGATTTTTCTAATTACCTATCTAATTAAAGCACATTAAGTTTGGTTATTGCAATTCAAGAAAGCAACGCACTTTCTTATGAAAAAGACCACTGCACAGAAAGTGCTCTTTGTCCTAAGATCAGGTCAAAGGAGAGATTTTAAAACATATAATAATAATGGCTTATATTTATTTAATAACATAGGCATAAATAATGTCATTTATTCCCCAGAGGACCCCTTTCAGGGAGATTTTATATATTGGGAAGCACACTCATGAGCTTTCCACCATCTTCTTCCCTACGGCTCCCCATCTCAGTAACTGACTGTACTGTTCATCCAGTTGCTTTTAAAGTTAGTAACCTAGTAATCTTCCTGTGACATCTGTCTCTCTTTCCCTCATTCCCCCATCTCCAATTCTACACCATAGGAAATTTGGTTTATCTCCTAAAATTCTTGAGAATCCATTCACTTTTTCTCCATTTCATTTTCCACCATTCTAGTCCCAGTGAACAGTTTCATCATCTCTTATTTGCAGTATCTTTTAGTCTCCCCTAGATTGTCAATTCTTGTCCCCGTCTCAATTCATTCTCCCACTCATTAGCTAACATGAACTCTTTTAATGTTGACTCTGACCATGTCACTCCTTGCTTAAAACTCTCTAGTGCCTTCCCAATGCCCTTAGAAGAAAATTACTCACATGGCCTCTGTGGATCTGTACCACTAGTCTCTCCTACCTCTCCATCTATTGCAACCAACTCTCTTCCCCTTTCCTATTTCCTGCCACACTGGTCTTTCTGTGCTGCAAACTGGCCAAGCTTCTTCCATGCTCGGCACATTTGCACAAGCTCTTCCTTTGCTTTAGAAATCCTCCCTGGCCTGCCAACTTCCCCAAGCTAATGCCTTATCCTTTAGTGTCATTTTAAACATCTCTTACCCAGGAAAACTTCCCCATCCAAACAAGTGTAGATTGGATCTGCCTGTTATTTGCTCTTACTACTCTATATTTCTCCTTCTTAGCATTTACTACAATTCTAATTATATAGTTATGTTCTTTTAATTTTACTTTTTCTGTCATTGGAATAGGTAATATATCCATTTGGTACAAAATTCAAATTGTACACAAAGTATAGAGTAAAAAGTCTCTTCCCTTTCCCTTCTCTCTGCTACCCAGTTCTCCTTACAAGTAATCACTATTAGCATTTTGAATATCTCTCCAGAGATATTTTCTGAGTATACAATTATGTACATAATATTCCTCTTTATTTTTGCCTTTTATTAACACAGATGCTATATACATTTTTCTGCACTTTGTTTTTATCTGTTAATAATATATCTTTGCAGTTCTTCCATTTCAATATGTAAACAGTTGCTTCTTTTCAGATAGCATAGAGTATGGGTTTACCATAATTTCTTTACCCTCCATTATTGGACATTTAGGTTGTTTCCAGGCTTTGGTTATTACAAACAATGCTGCACTGAATAACTTTGTATATATAAAGTCATTTCCCACATTTATAGCTATAGAATAAACTTCCTAGAATTGAAAGTTAAAAAGTTATGTGCATTTTTAATTTTGGTAGTTATTGCCGAACTGCTCTCAATGTAGGTTGTACCAATTCACATTCCCACTAGCCACAGATGAAGAATGCATGTTTAGTCACAATTATGTCAGTGAAAATTTTTGTTCTTTGCCAGTGTAAGAGGTGGAAAGTGCCTCTTGAAAACTTTAATTTGCATGTTTTTCTTCCTTTCAAAGTTATTTTCATATGTTGAGCCATTTGTATTTCTTTAGTGAACTGTTTCTTCATAAACTTTGCTTATGTTATTATTTACTGTCTGACTTCCTCACTACACTTTAAGATCCGTGCTCCGCGTGCAGGGATCCTGTGTTTTGTTCATCGCATAGTTCCTGGTAGTGAAATGAATGAAGCTCAGAGAAATGACTGGGTCATGTCATGCAGTAGTGAAGTCCAGAACTCATGTTTGATTCCAAAGCCCACACGTATTTCCACGATCACCCAGTGGAAAAAATAAGCATTTAATTCACCACACCGCAGTCCAGATAGGTAATGTAAAGCGTCTGAAGCGTGCCGGGAAGTCAGGACTGGGGCAAAAAGGCAAACAACTGCCTACCTACGGTAGCAGCCGTTTTTAAATCTATTTTACTGGAAGGCAGGAATGCAGGCCCATTGTCGGATCTTTATTTACCCCGAGGCCAGATTTCTGGCTTTATTGTGAAATCTCCTGATTTTTGAATATTTCCAATCAAAACAAGACTGCGCTCAAATGTAGCCCACCGGCAGCGAGTTTGCAAACTCGAGTAAGCTGGAGTAGGAGGCTGCTTAGGGCAGTACCTTATTTGGATAGTGACAGCCACGAAACGAGGAGGTTTCTACCTAGGACGATAATGAGGTTCCCTGCCCTGGGGTTTGGGCTTGGGGGCTGGGGCTCCCGGAAGGACGACTGAAATAAACACAAACAGGGGTCAGGGCAGCGCCAGGTCCTCCTGGTATGGCTGGCCACTCCAGCAGCGGGGTCCCCGGTTTCTCCAGCGTCCACCCAATGGCGTTGGGCGGCAGAGGTTGCCCGGGATGAAGGGAATGACTGACTGCGCATTCCCTCACCGGTTCCTTTAGAGCCAAGCCGTAAGTCAGCGCCCAATCCCTTCCCGGCTTCTTGAAGACACTGACCTCCCAGGCAAAGCCTCCGCTCGGCGATCTACTTCTCTCCCTCCTCAGGCGCTGCCCGCAACCCCATCCTATGACTTCCGTTTGCTTGGTCGTCTGGGAAACCTCCGACTTCCGGCCGCGCATCGGTGGGCGGAGCCAAGATGGCTGAGGAGACGCTGGCGTCGGTGAGCGCCGCGGTTCTGCTTAGTGTCCCGGCCACCGCGGGGGGCAGGCCAGGGCTGGGCTGGGAAGAGCAGAGGCGAGTGGCGACGCAGGCTGGTGGGCGGCCTGTGTCCCACGCAGCTGCCCCTGAGGAAAAGCGGAGCGGGGTCCGGAGCGACTCGGGGCGGGGGGCGACACGGTCTGGCTCCGGGCATCTGGTCCGCCTGGGAAGGCTGAATTCTTTGCGACGCTGGGCCTATCTAGGACTGTGGTCCCTCTTGGGGTACGGAAAAGGGAGGTTTTCATCAGAAATGGCTCTTTTTCTAGCCCCATCTTTTCTTTCTGGCAGGGTTTGGAAAGGAAGCACTACCGTTTGTACAGTTTCTGTTAATCCCTTGGCGTAGGAATTGAGTATGACAAAATCTGGAAGATTTCGGCGTCACTGGCTTCTGTCAGTGGGAGGGGACCATGTTTTCTCTGTTGTGGTTAAGTTTGGGAAAGTACTGTTTTGGGATTCAGCTGGTCTGAGTTAGGCGTTGATTAAACTCCCTCAGAACTGCTAATACAAAGTAGCCCAGATCAATTCAGGATGACCCAGTGCTAGTTATTTTTGAGGTGTTTATTCATAATTGGATCTAATTTCTTTAAAGTTCCGAGTGTGTAAACCTTGTCTACTTGTTTTAGCATTGAGTTTCAAAGCATGTTCTGTGCGTTTGTTAGAATGACTTGAGTTATTTATTCGGAATATATTGCCCTGGAAAACTTTGGAGCAAAATAGCAGTCTTTGGCTGTTTAACAACTTAGTGTTGGCTGTTAAGGAGCAAAGCCAGTGTTATCTGTCAGTGGACCTGTTTTCTTGTTTTCTGTTCTCTTTTCATTTGCAGAGAAATCAAAGTATTTTAGTGTAATCGGAAAACTTGAATATAGAGAAGGAGGTCCAAACCAAAGATTTCTGTTAAGCTATGAATTTAAAAAAATTTTTGGTGTGATTAGTGTTCTAGGTTTTAGAAATGGAAACATACCAAAGAAAATACTTCACCTACATATTCTCGAATGTAAGGTATAATGGTAACATGACGTTGCTGCAAATATAGCTCATTCTCTAGTGCTCATTGCAGGTATAGATAGGTGTTCGTGAACAGAATATGAACTTGATTTCTGTGATGGCAGAATTATCCTCTATTTTTGAATCTCTGATAGTGTTTTAAAGAGAATGGCTTTTTTGTTTTCATAAGACTTTAATACTTGAGCCTGAAGTTAACTAATTGTTTTCATTCTTGTCACGTTTATTGCTAACAGTGTTAGATTTATAGTAATTTCGTCCTTTTAAGTTACCACTGTATGGAAATTTGAATTTCTGTCCTTTTTGGAAGTAATGTGGCATCTTGTAATAAAATTAAAAGGACACAACAATCCTACTCCTAGACCTGTATCCCATCGAAGTGAAAGCAACACAGAAGCATGTAGTCCAAGTGTGTTCACTGCAGTACTGTTTATAGTGGCAAAAACTGGAAACAAAGTGAATGCCCATTATTAGAGTGATGGGTGATTTCTAATATTTCCATAGTTGGGAATATTATGTGGCCATTAAAAAGAATGTTAGAACTACATGTGTTAAGTTGGAGGGATTTCTGTGGTATACATTTTAAATAAAAGCTAGATGTGGAGTCCGGTATATTGTTTGATCCTAATTTTGTGACAGAAAAAGACACATAGATCTGTAGATATGAATATGTAGATGTGGAGGAAGGAAGACTAAAAGACTTAAAACTCACAGAGAACTTTGAACAAATGCATGAGTAAGAATGCTGCAGTAAAGCCCTTGAGGTCAGGAGACATCCCAGCAAAACACAGTGAAACTAGCACAGTGCGGAACACAGGAATTCTAATATGCTACTAAAACTACTTAGAATTGTTTTAGTTCCTTAGGGAGGAAAACTGGGGATGGATATTTATATTTTGTTTAAGAATATATTATAAATGGTTTAGAGTTTTTTGTTTTTTTTAAAAAAACAAGCAAATAGCTCTGGTTTCCATTGTTTATACTTATAAAATTTTTTGTAATTCCCTAATGCCCATTGTTTGATGTATTTGTATAAACACCTTTCTTCCTGTAAATTAAAAGATTAACCCTTTCAGAACAGAAAGTAAAAATTACTACTGCGCTAGTTGATTTGGCTCAGATGTGGTGCCTAGGACATATCAATTGTTACATGAATATTTGTTAGATGAATTAATCACAGAACTACATAAAAAGAATAAAAAAAAGATCCATAATAAATTTATTATACATACATCCTAGCTATAAATGCAATCAAGCAGGCTAATAGAATCCTTTCCATTTCAGTGTTCTGAAAGATCTTTTGAGAATGAGACTCATCAAAGCGCTTACAATTTATTTTAATTCTCTTTTGTGCAGAAAGTGGGGTTGCTGACCCGTGAAGATGCTTTTTGAGCCTTTAAGATTCTTTACCTACTATGTTCCCCAAAGTTAAAAAAAAAAATCCCAGATCAAAAACAATAGAGTTCTTTAGCATTTTAAAAACATATTTGTTGAGGTAAAATACACCATATTGTTTACCCATTTTAAGCGTACAGTTTGATTAATTTTAGTAAATTTACATAGTTGCACAACTGCCACCGCAGTCTACTTATGTCCATCATTCCCAACAGTTCCCTTGTGTCCATTTGCAGCCAATCCCTACTCCTAACCCCAGCATACCACTGATCTGCTTTCTGTCTCCATCGTTTTACCTTTTCTAGCAATTTCATATAGTAGAAGCACACAATATGTAGGCTTATGTGTCTTACTTTTACTTAGCATGTTTTTTGAGGTTCATTCATGTTGCATGTAGCAGTAGTTTGTTCCTTTTTATTTCTAAGCAGTATTGCATTGTATGAATATGTACATTTTGTTTACGCACCAACTGATGAACATTTGGATTGTTTCCTGGTTTTGACTATTGAGAATAATTTTATGCATATTGGCATACAGATCTTTGCGTGGATGTGTTTTCCTTTCTCTAGGAGTGGAATTGCTGGGTTGTTTGGTAAGTGTATGTTTGAAAAAAAACCTGCCAAACTGTTTTCTAGAGTGGCTGTATACCATTTTATGTTCCGATGAGCAATGCTTAAGGTTTTCAGTTTTTCCACATCCTTGATGACGCTTGGTATTGTCAGTCTTTTTTGTTTTAGCTATTCTAGTGAATGTGTAGTGGTGGTTATTGTGGTTTTAATTTGTGTTTGCCCAATGAATAATGATATTGAGTGTAATCACTACTTATTCCTCCATAATTCTTTGGTGAAGTGTCTCTACGAATCTTTTGCCCATTTTTAAGTGGGTGATTTTATTATTGAGTTTTCTGTATTTGTTAAATCAAGATAATAAAATAGCTGAAAGAACAAATTATGTATTCTCTTTTATTTTGAGGATTAATTTTTTGTTGTGATGGAATACATCTTCTAAAAGAAGGAATAAAAGGTTATATGTAAGTTTTAAAGAACAATACTGGAAACTTGTATTCCTGCATCACAGGTTAAGAAATGGGTCATTAACAATAACTTTGAAACCTCCTAAATGTCTCTACTGCATTTTCCTCCTTTCTCAGCAGAAGTACTCTCTTTCCTCAATTTTATGTTAATTATTATTTTGCCTTTATTTATAATTTTACCGTATTTAATACCCCTAAATAATATATGGATCATCATTAATGTTTATTAGTTTTTCAGTGCTATATAGTATCCTATTTTAGGAAATTACCACAATTAATTTAGCCCTTCTACTACATAGAGATGTGGGTTATTTCTGATTTTTTTTTCAGCTTTATTGAGTTGTAATTGACAAAGTGGGAAGATACTTAAAGTATACAACATGATAATTTGATATTCGTATATGTTGTGAAGGGATTCCCACCATCAAGTTAATTAACACATCCATCACCCTACATACGTACTTTTTTTTTGGTGAAAACATTTAAGTTCTACTCTCTTAGCAAATTTCAACTATACAATACGGTGTTATCAACTATAATCACCATGTTATAAATTAGATTCTTAGACCTTATTCATCCTATAACTGAAAGTTTGTACCCTTTTACCAGCCTCTCCCTATTTCCCCCACCTCCCAACCCCTGACAACCACTTTTCTACTCTAAGTTCAACTTTTTTTCCTTCTGATTTTTTGTTAGTAAAAAGAGTGCTGCTACAAACAGGGCCAGGACAAGGGTAAGGCAAGTGAAGTGCTTAAGGTGCAAAATTTAAGGAGTAAGAGTATCTCAGCCCTGGCTATGAACATTCTTTTTTTTTTTTTTTTTTTTTTTTTAAAGATTTTATTTTTTCCTTTTTCTCCCCAAAGCCCCCCGGTACATAGTTGTGTATTCTTCGTTGTGGGTTCTTCTAGTTGTAGCATGTGGGACGCTGCCTCAGCGTGGTCTGATGAGCAGTGCCATGTCCGCGCCCAGGATTCGAACTAACGAAACACTGGGCCGTCTGCAGCGGAGCGCGCGAACCCAACCACTCGGCCACGGGGCCAGCCCCTGGCTATGAACATTCTTACACATTGTCTCCAGATCTAAGATTTCTCTAGAATATTCCTAGAAACGAATTGCTGGATCATAGGGTGTGTACATCTTCAACTTTTATTACTAATGGGAAACACTAAGGTGGTTGTAACAATTTATGCTTCTACCTCCACCAGTTCCTGTTGCTTACATCCTTGATATTGTTATAGTTTTAAGTTTTGTCAGTATGGTGGACATGAAATGAAGTCTTAATGTGATATTAATTTACGTTTCCCTGATTATTAATGAAGTAGAACCTTATTGGTTGTCTCCTTTCCTTTTCTGTGCAATGCCTGGTTCATATGGTTTTTTTTGCTTTTTGGGGTTTTTTTTAAAGATTGACGCCTGAGCTAACATCTGTTGCCAATATTCTGGGGTTTTTTTTCCTTCTTCCCAAAGCCCCCCAGTACATAGTTGTATATTTTAGCTGTAAGTCCTTCTGGCTCTGCTATGTGGGATGTCGCCTCAACATGGCTTGATGAGCGATGCCATGTCTGTGCCCAGGATCCGAACTGGTGAAACCCTGGGCCACCACAATAGAGCATGCGAATTTAATCATGCGGCCATGGGGCTAGCCCCACATATGTTTTTCTTATTTTGCTACTTTGCTGCTTACTTTTTGTATTGATTTGTGGTTATTTATTGTTTCTGACTGCTAATCCTTTGTCTTTTTTTTTGGTTTTGTTTTGTATTACAGTTGTCTTCTCTTAGTTTTGTATCTTCACTTCTTTTTTGAAACACAAGTTCTTAATTTTAATGTAGTTGAATATTTAGATCTTTTCTTAATTGATTTGTGCTTTTATATCTTATTGAAGTAATCCTTCTCTACCCTCTATTTTTTTCCTAAAAGTTTTAAAATTTGCTTTTTCTATTTTAGTCTTCAGTCTGTTTAAATTCATTTTCATTTTCCTGATAAAGCTTTTTCTCTTGAAGTCTGTTTTGTGTAATGTTAATGTTGCTACTGTGGTTATGTTTTGGTTTCTGTTTTTCTGGTGCGTCTTTTCCAATTGTTTTACTTTGTTTTTCTTTGCTCTTATGTTTTGGACGTGTCTTTATACAAATAGCATACATCTAGATTTTTGAAAACATCTATCTTGATAATCTGTCTTTTACCTGGAGAATTTCATTTTTTTCTCCTTTTCTTGCTTTTTTTTTTTTTGTGGCTTAGTTGTCTGTCTTTTTCTCTCCGATCTGCTCTTCTCATTTTGTTCCTTGGAAGTTAGATGCTCCATTCCTTAGTCTTCCTTTAGTGAGTACCTCGATTTTTTTATAACACATATTTAACTTAAATTTCAAACTTAAATCTGAATAATACAGGGATCATTGAATGCTTTATTCCCAGTTGCCTTCTGCTGATGCATGCCATTGTTGTTTAGTTTTGTAGTTTTTGTATTTCTCAGTTCAACACCACAAAGTATACTTTTTGTTGTTGTTTTATTCAGTCAGTAGATGCTTAGAATACTTCCATATTTTACCAATTCCTATGCTTATTCCACTCCCCCATTCTGGGGTTAGTTTCCTTTTCCTAATGTATGTCCTTTAAAAGTTTATTTAGTGAGTCTAAAAACTCTTAAATTGTATTTGTCTGAAAGTCTTTTTCTTTTCTTTTTGGTGAGGAAGATTTGCTCTGAGCTAACATCTGTTACCAATCTTCCTCTTGTTTTTTTTGCTTAAGGATGATTAGCCTTGAGCTAACATCTGTGTTATTTGTCCTCTGTTTTGTATGTGGGTCGCTGCCACATCATAGCTTGACAAGTTGTGTAGGTCTGTGCCTGGGATCCAAAACTGCGAACCCAGGCAGCCCAGGCAGAGCGTGCTGGACTTAACCACTGTGCAACCAGGCCAGGCCCTGAAAATCTTTTTAATTTGCCATTGTTCTTGAAAGTTAGTTTTGATTGGTGTAAGAGTTTAGATCAGGGGTTGGTAAACTATTTTTGTAAAGGGCCAATAATGAATATTTTGGGCTTTGTGGGCCATACAGTCTCTGTCACAAGGTAACTCAACTGTGCAGTTAGTGCAGAAGCAACCATGGATGATATGTAAGCATGTGTTTGGTTTATTATAAAATTTTGTTTATAGACACTGAAATTTGAATTTTTTATGATTTTCGTGTGTTATGAAATAGTACTTTTTTTTTCTTTTTTTTTTTTTTAAAGATTTTATTTTTTCCTTTTTCTCCCCAAAGCCCCCCGGTACATAGTTGTATATTCTTCGTTGTGGGTTCTTCTAGTTGTGGCATGTGGGACGCTGCCTCAGCATGGTCTGATGAGCAGTGCCATGTCTGCGCCCAGGATTCGAACCAACGAAACACTGGGCTGCCTGCAGCGGAGCGCGCGAACTTAACCACTCGGCCATGGGGCCAGCCCCGAAATAGTACTTTTTTTAACTATTAAAAAAATGTAAAAAACTTTCTTAGTTTGTGGGCCATATAGAAATGGGCTGGATGTGACCTGAAGCCATAGTTTGCAGACCTTGTGTCTGAATTAACACGCGCTTTACTTAGTACCTGACACTTGGGAGTAATTGTTCTTAGAATGTTTTAATGTGATATTCCATTTTCAATTGTTGAGAAGTCAGCTGTCTAATGCAACTGTCCTTTCTTTTTCGGTAATCTGCTGATATGTTTTTTTCTTTGGTTGCTTTTAAGAACTTATTTTTTCTGGTACAGGTCTCTATGTTGTATCTAAATGTGGATTCATTTTAATTTAACCTGGTCAGGATTGGTTGAGCATCCAGAATCTAACGATTAATGTTTCATTACTTCTGGAAATTTTCAGCTGTTATTTTTGCTTATATCATACCATATCATATATAACATAGGAGGTAGATATGTATAAGAAAAATCCATTTGGAGACTTTCTGTATGGTGTAAGATAGTATCTATTATATTAAATAATGTCCCATTAACAGAACTCCCTCCTAGAATTGAGTGCCTCCTAGAAATGGTTTCTGTGTAGATGACCTCATAAACTGCAGTTTATCAAAGTTACCACTTTTCTGGTTTGGCCTCATATGTGTAGCATTAAATATAATACTAATATGTAGTGTCTAAGATCTTAGTGCATGTATCTGTACACATTTTATCATGCATTATAATTACACGTTATAAATACACATAAATGTATGTTATAAATATGCATTACACATTATTAATAGTTTGGATAGCAAAAGTACGACGACATTTGTTTTTTAAACCATGTTATAAATAAGTTTTTGTATCTATATGTAGTTGATTGATTAATTGCATGATTGGAGAGCTACTGATTATGGTTATTTGAAAGCTTACTTAAGTTATCAAGATTTATGGTGGTGCTCTAACATAGACTTCTTTCATTTCAGAGAACTCAGTTTTCTGCATCTGCTGAATCTCAGAAACCCCAGTTGAAAAAAGGTCTGTATGCAGTTTCCTTGTATGGGTATATTTACACAGATTTCTCTGTCTTATTGGGTCTTTCTAGTATTCTGTATGCATTAGAGCTTATAAAATGTGAGTGTTGGGGAAAAGCAGTTAATAGTCTAAATGTTCTGCCATATCTAGCTTTTATTTTATGGAGTTGTTAGATATTAGGGGATTGATTTTACCTGTAAATGTATTTAAATGGGGTTTTATTGTTATGTAAATTGTGTGTTAATTTTCTGTGTGTGGAGAAACCACTCTAAAGTTCCCATTGTATATATCAGGCCTCAAATAATCTCATATGTATATGTTAAATAAGTGTGAGGTTTTATAAAAATTCATTTGGGGAAGGCTGAGTTGGTGAGGACCTATACTGTAAAGAGCTACATTTTAAAATCTGGTAGAGATATGGTATATATTTTATTTAGAGGAAGAGATTCCTTCATTTGTTAACCTATAAAGTCTTAGGAGGGTTTGCATCAGGTTGTAGATAGCTATATTGGATAGTCTCCTGTGTCTAACGGACTGGGTGTCTTTGCTACTCATCAGGCATTATGTAATCCCTGAACTTTTTATTTAGCAGAGGAGACTATCTATTTTATTATATATTCATTTATTTATTATTATCTAGGTGAGGAAAACAGAGCTGAGTTGAAGGGCCTGCTTGCCAGGGTCTCGTGTGAGCTCTTGTCTGTGTACCTGAATTATGGCTACCAGGCTATTCCCCCTTTTGCAGCATGTGTTTTCCTCTTGTCTGCTAAGAGTTTTAAAGTTGATTTTGTCAGTAAATTGTTTAATTTACTTGGGACATTTCTGTTACTCTTTGAAATTATAAGACAAGTTGTTGGAAAATATGATTGCCTTTCAGGAAGTTATGTTCAAAGAGTTTTTCGGGGATACATCTTTTATTGAAAGAGCAGTACGTCTATAGTTTAGATTATTTGTGAAATTTAGGTGTAATTCTGCCGACATCTAACATAATTGCTAATATTTTTTACACCATTTCTGGACATGAGAATCATCTTGCTGGGCTGTCACTTCATTTAATCACTGGGGTGATTTGGCTAGTTAGGTGGCGCTAGTAAGTATTGTGATTGTCTCTCCAGTATTCTTTCCACGCTTCCTCCAGAGTCAAACCCTGTGGTTTGTTTGGTTTGACTCCCAGTCCAGGAGAGTTGTAATTAGTATACATCGATCAAGAATTGGCACATGCTCAATTCAGGCTAATGAGTTACAAAGTTTATAGCTGTGGGGAAAAGGGACGCATTTGACATGTTCTGCTATAAAATTTAACAGTGCTGTAGTGCCCTTCCCATCAATTCTTTCTTTCTTCTCTGCAAAACAACCACTTTCTGATTTCTATTATGAATGTTTAGTTTTTCCTGTTCTTGAACCCCTCATACAGCTGAGTACTTAGCAGGTTCCAGGACCTGTGATAGGTGTTTGGAATACAAAGATAAATAGGGCATGACTTCTGCCCTAAGAGAATTGACAGTCTTCAGGGCGTATAGAATATAAATAAATAATTAAAGTGCAGTATATGCTCCCTAGTTCCTTTCTTCTGAAAGTTTAACATTTCTAATTTCTTCAACTCTTTTCACATGAAATGTTTAGAACTCTCTTGCTGTTATTGCTTTGGTCCTCTGGTGAAATTCATCGGACCTCTTGGAGGTATAGAGTTCAGGACTAAACAGAATATTCTGGGTATGGTGTGAACAGGGCCAAGTGGAATGTTTGGAGGATAAAATCTCTTCATCTGGGTCTTTTATTTCTGATAGTCCAGCTCAAGGTTGCATTGCCTTTTGGACAACCATTCATACGTTTGCAATACCACTGTATCGCATAGTGCCGGGGGCATCATTCACGTAGAGTACAATGACCATAATATGGATGATGCCCTTGAAGTTGTGCAAGGTGGTGACATAGACACCTAAAATATCAAGGGTTTAACCTGCTCTTAACCTGCCCTTAATTTCTCGCTTCCGTAACCCATAATTTTATCTGTTGATATAGTGAAGTACAGCGATTGAATTTGGGGATGTCGTACCAACCTTGCATTTCTGGATTAACTCCCCATGGTCATTATGTATTAGCCTTTTTATCTATTGCCGATTCAATTTGCTAATATTTTCTTAAGGATTTTTGCAGCTGTGCTCATGAGGGATGTTGGTCTGTAGTTTTCTTTTTTTGCCATGCTTTGGTCTATTTTTGTTATCAGAGTTATGCTGGCCTCAAAATGAGTTGGGAACTATTCCCACTTCCATTTCCTGGAAGATTTTGTATAGAATTTCTTTCTTTCTCAAATGTTTGCTAGAATGTGACAGTGAAGCAATCCAGGCCTAGATTTTTCTTTCTTGGAAGATTAAGTACAAACTCAATTTCTTTAATAGATATGGGACTATTCTAGTTATATATTTCTTTAGAGAGAGCTTTGACAATCTTTTTCTTTCAGAGAAGTTTGTCTGTTTTGTCCCAGTTATCAAATTTATTAGCATAAAGGTCATAATACTCCTATATGTTCCTTTTAATGTCTGTAGGATGTAGTGATGTTCCCTCTCTTGTTCTTGATTTTGATAATTTATGTCTTCTCTCTTTTTTTTCTTTGATCAGTCTGGCTAGAGGTTTATACATTTTATTGATCTTTTCAAAGAACCAGCTTTTGATTTTATTGCTTTTTCTCTATTTCTTTTCTGTTTCAATTTCATTGATTTCTGCTCTTATCTAATATTGTCTTGTGTAAAATTTGCTCTTTTTGCAATTTCTTAAGGTAGAAACTTAGATCACTGATTTGAGATCTTCTTTTCTTTTATAAACATTTAGTACTTTACATTTCCTTTTAAGCAGTGCTTAACTGGTTCATACACATTTCAAATGTTTTTTAACTTTTGTGCAATTCTAAATATTTTAAAATTTTCTTTGTATTCTGCTTTGACCCATGACTATTAAGAAAGGTATTGATTAATGTCCATATATTTGAAGAATTTTCCAGATGTCTTTTTGTTATTGGTTTCTAGTTTAATTCTATTATGGTTAGAGAACATACTTTATATGGTTTGTTTTATGGCCCAGAATGTGGTCTATGTTGGTGAATGTTCCATACGCCTCAAAACGAATGCATACTATGCTTCTGTTGGATGGAATATTCTATAAATGTCAATTAAGTCAAGTTGATTGATACTGTTGTTCTATATACTTATTGATACAGATATTAATATTCTTTCTGGAAAGATACTGATATCCTTAATGAGAGAAGAGTGTTGAATTATGCAAACATAATTATGGATTTGTCTATTTCTATTTTCAGTCTATCAATTTTTGCTTTATTTCAAAGATGTGGTTGGATGCACATGCATTTAGGATTGTTTGACTTTTTGGTGAATTGACCCTTTTATCATTATGTGATGTCCCTCCCCTATCCTTCATAATATTCCTTGTTTGAAGTCTACTTTGATGAGAATATAGCCATTCTAGTTTTGTTTTGACTAGTGTTTGCATGGTAATTAAAGTATAGTTTACATACAGTAAAATTCACCCCCCTTTTTTTTTTTGGTGAGGAAGATTGGCCCTGAACTAATATCTGTTGCCAATCTTCCTCTTTTTGCTTGAGGAAGATTGTTACTGAGCTAACATCTGTGCCAGTCTTCGTCTATTTTGCATGTGGGATGCTGCCACAGCGTAGCTTGATGAAAAGTGTGTAGGTCCACACCTGGGATCTGAACCCTTGAACTCCAGGCCACTGACGCGGAGTGCACTGAACTTAACCAATACGCCACCTGGCCGGCCCAAAATTCACCTTCTTTTAGTATAAAGTTCTAGGAGTTTTGACAAATGAAAATAGCATGTACCCACCCCCACCACAATCAAGATATAGAACAGCTTAATCACCCTCAAAAATTCACCTTGACTTTGTAGTAAACTTCTTCCACTTCCAATTGCTGGCAACCATAGATCTTTTTTTTTTCTTCCTATAGTTTTCTTTTCCAGAACATCACATAAATGGAATCATACATTATGTAACCTTTCGGGGGGCTTTTTTCACTTAGCATAATGTTTTTGAGATTTATCCATGTTATTGTGTGTCTGAGTTTCTTTTTGTTGATGAACAGCAGTATTCAGTTTTATATGTATGCCACAGCTTATTCATCTGTTCATCAGTTGAAGGACATTTGGGTTCTTTTCTGCTTTTGGCTATTACAAATAAAGCAGCTATAAACATTTGCTTATGGTTTTTGTGTGAACATGTTTTCATTTCACTTGTGTAAGTACCTTAGAGTGAGATTGCTGCATAGTATTGTGAATATATAGTTAAGTTTATTAGAAATTACCGAGCTGTTTACCAAAGTAGTTACACTATTTTGTATTTCCATCTGCAAAGTATGTGTGCTCCGGTTACTCCACATCCAGGTCAGCACTTGGTAATTTTCAGTTTTTTGTAAAAACAAAAACAAAAACAAAAAAAACCCTTCTAGTGGATATATAGTGGTATTGCACCGTTGTTTCAGTTTGCGTTTTCTTGATGACTGTTGATGTTGAACATCTTTTCATGTGCTTGTCCATAATCCCTGTGTCTTTTTTGGGGAAGTGTCTAAATAATTTGCTCACTTTGAAAAAAATTCAATTCTTTGTTTTCTTAATATTAAATGTTTAGAGTTCTTTATATATTCTGGGAACAAGTTATGTTTATCTTTATCAGATAGGTGATTTGACATATTTTCTCTGTCTGAAGCTTGTCTTTTCATGCTTTTCACAGTGTCTTTGGAAAAATGGATATTTTTAATTTTGATGAAGCCTAATTTATCAATTTCTTTCTTTTATGAATCATGCTTTTGGTGTAATATCTAAGACATGTTTGCCTAACCCAAGGTCACAAAGATATTCTCCTATGTTTTCTCCTAGAAGTTTTATACTTTTATGTTTTACATTTTTGTCTATGATCCATTTTGCATTAAGTTTTTGTATATAGTGCAGAGTATAGATTGAGGTTTTTTTAGCAT